CATCTAGTTTCAATGGGCTGAGCTGGAACACAAATGCCATTGATTTGTTACGAAGAAGCCCACGTCCTCATGGATTGCGAGCGGGCTGCAAGATTAATTTGTTTGGTCGGTGGTCTTCATGGAAGGCTTCAGAAGAAGAACCTGGCTGGTAGCTGGAACCAGACAGGATTAGTTTAAACTCAACTAATGCCTGAAAAACTTGGTCAGTAAGGGTGTTCACAGCGTTTTCTTAAATTTTAATTTATTGTGTTTAAAATAATTTTTTTATATTATTTTAATATGTTGGTATCAAAAATAGTTTTTTAAAAAAATAAAAAAAACTTTTATTTTAATACATTTCTAAATAAAAAAAAAAAACCTTTATTTTAATACAATTCTAAATAAAAATATTTTAAATTATTATTGCTATAACAATCTGCGTGGGTTGTTTCCAGTTTTCTCTTCAAGAAGAAGAAGAAGAAGCTCCTGTTGCCCTCTTCCTTGTAGTCAAATCTGCAGTCTTGAGAGAAGAAATTAAGAGGCAAATATCGAGACCAATCAGAACTTGACATCTCGACCAACGGCCAATAGGGAGTTTGGACGCTAGGATACCTGCTGCACCCAATTAACTACACGAGTCTCTCAACTTCCCATCGCACAAAAAAAACAAGAAGTTAAATTGAAGACTGACCTAATAAAAGAATAAATATATTCAATAGCATGAGTCACCTTAAATAATTAATTATTAATAAATTATTTTTTTTCAATATATAATACAATCAAAATGAGAAAATAAATTGATCTGAATCAAAGAAAAAATATAAAAAAGACAAATGAAAATAAAAACATATATAAAAAAACATGTTACACGAGCTTGCTCGGAGTCGGCCCAAGCTCCCCAGGCCACTGTAATGGCCCGGGTAGATTGGAAATGAAGATTCAATGACGTAATGCCGTCTTGATATTTATTTATTTATTACAATAAAGATACTCTGAAGTAGCTTTTGTGTATTAAATTAGATCTTTTTTTGATAGACGCTTATTCAAACTATTCATATCAGCTCAATACATTAAAAATAAAAAAGAAGCTTGTAACCTTACAAGAGAATCGGAGATTTTCAGCAAATTATTAGTTAGATTAGAATTATTTTCTTGCAAAATTAAAACTAGCTTAATTTTCTGTGCTATTTCTATTTCAGTTAATGAATAGTATTTTTCAAATTTAAATTTTTTTATTCCAACAAAAAAAATATTAGTATAAGTACATAATTCTTTTCATTTAGTTTACACATGTAGTTTATTATGATACATGAAGACCAGATTATTTTTATAATAAAGTAGAAAACAACACGTTTGTAACATAATAAAGTATTTTTCAAGAAATCACACAGACAAAAAATAAATTCTCTTATGATTTTTTGCCAAAAGTTTCTCTAGTTAAAACTCACGTTAAAATCGCCTTCTTTGTTTAGGTAGTTCTTTTTATATTTAAAACATATATTCTTTATTCATAACATGATTTTTTTATTATTAAAAACTTACCAGAGTAGCAAGTTTCAATAAAAAAGCAAAAAATATATATTTTGATAAATTTTATACAGCTGCATGCAAAAAAAATAAATTAAATATTTTACTCTCATTGAATATTCATAAGAAATGTTTGAAAAAATAATTCATATTATGTTTATATATAATCATAAATAAAATAATTGATAATATTGTCATACAATACCTCTAATATTTTTTTTAAAAAAACAATGCATCATCATATAATTTTTAAAATATTATTCTAATTTTTTTATTTGATAATTATTTCATTTTAATATATTTGTTGTTGCTTCTTGTTCTTGTTTTGACCTTGTTTTGATGCAGATTATAATTTAATGAAATATGATTAAACTTGAAATATAATTTAGAACCATGGGATATATAATTGAGTGATTTTAAGAGTGTGTTTGGTATTGCAATAACTATTGTAGTTGTGGTTTGAAAAAAATTGTTTTATAAAAAATACTTTTAGTTGAAATTAATTTGAAAAAATAGGTGTTTGATTAAAACTGTGATTAAAATTGAGGTTAAAGAAAAAGTAGTTTAATGTGTTTGATTAAGAGTGCTTTTAAAATTGAGGTTATAAAATAATTTTTAAAAATATATATTAATATTGATGGTTTTTAATTTAAATTTTATGGATTTAACTATTGCTATTATATTATGAAATAGATCACACTTAAAAAAAATACTTTAACAAGAAATTATCTACAATTCTATTACGTATAAAATTTATCTGACAAGAACTATAAAATTATATAAAATATTATCAAGAATAAAATTAAGATTATAATATGAGTAAATTTTATTTACCTTAAACTAATTTTAAAAAAATAAAAAAAATCATTATTTATGTTCACGTGAATAGTACGAGTGAAATCAATTAACTACACTGATTTATATATATATAAAAAACTTATTTAGCGAACAGTGAAGGCATGCTCTACTATTCACTGAACAGTAGCCTCAGTTTGGCCGCGCAGAAAGCAGCAATTTGTTGTTTTCCATTTCCCTGTGTCTAGTACGCAATAAATTGGGGGACCCATGTATAATAAACAACTTTTTTTTTTTAACCAAACATTTGCTCAATGCGTTTTTGAAGAAACACAACCTCTACCTTGTAGTCAAACGGATTCTAAAAATATGGTTGTGATAGATTTTCAAATAATTTTTTGTGCTGAAATATATTAAAATAATATATTTTTTATTTTTTAAAAATTATTTTTAAAATCAACATATTAAAAAGATCTAAAGCATATAAAAAAATTAATTTTTTATTAAAATATTTAAATTTTTTCAAAACATGATTGACACTGCATTCTTAAACCGTCATAAAAACTCTTTAGATTTTATATTTTCTAAAATACCCTCGTCCTCTCAACCTTTACCATCTTTTGTTCATCCCCATCGAGCCTTTTTTCCCTCTTGTTATTCTTTCATCTTATTTCTCAAATCTAACATAGTTTTCATCAAACAATTTTCACAGATCTACCATCCACTACTTCTTTCTATCAGACAATCTTTATTAGAGAGCTTGTTCCTTAGATAATTCCTTTTCTTCTTCTTCTCTCTTCCTATCATCTTCTTGTCCCTGAAATTCTTGTCTTGGCATCCTTCGAACTAATTTCCTATAAAAAATTATTGTCTCATTCTTTTTAGTTGTTCTTATAACAATGTATTTTTAAATACAATGCAAATTGGTATATAAATTGGTTGTCATCTTTAATAATTTAACATGCTGCAACAACAACTTTAATCATAATTTTAAACATATATTGATTACTTAATTTTAATTTTTTTTGAAAAGTATTTTCAACTATATTTTAATTAAGTATCTATTTAAATCAAACATACCACAACAAAAAAATACTTTTTGAAAAATATTTGTTTTTTAAATTACAATCACAAAAACTATAAAACAAAACAAACGTATCCTAAAATTGTGTGACTAGCCTTAAAAGAAAGGCATGGTTTTGGAAAGTAAGGTCCCTAGGATTTGAACATTTATTTTTTAACAAAGGGAACAGCACTATGTCTCTCGACATATAAAGTATTATCACCTAAAACAAATATCGACAATATTTGGTAATAAAAAAAATTAGGTCCAAGTTTTTGGATTTATAAAACTCAAATTTCAGCATGTTTTACACATACACAAAATTATAGAAAAACCTTATTAATTTTAATTTCAACCCATGACACATTCTAATCATTATAAAAACTTAAAATCAAATTAAATCTAAATAAATTTTTCGGATTTTGACCTATTATTTTTTATATAGGTTAAAGAATCAAACCATCTTCAACAAACTATCCTCTTTGGAATGAACACATTAGCATCAAAATTAATGTTTTTTTTTTTATTATCTGAATGTGAATGTCTAAAAGCTCTCTCTTATATTAATTTTTGATAACTTTCTTTTTCCTATCTCAACTTTTAAAAATTAGAACATAAAAAATGGATTTTTACGATAGAAATACAAATATAAAAATAAAAAAGAACCAAAAAAATGTAAGCGCCAAACACCAAAATTTGTGCCTATTTAATCATGAAAATTGCATAATAAATTGCACACTTTTTATGCATGAACAGTGTTAATACATTAAAATATAATTTGAATTTTTACATCTAAAATATTAAATTAGATATTAATGATAATTTTTTATTTATAAATAATTTTTAAATTTAAATTTTTGTTTATGATACTTTACGAATAATTAAATATTTTTTCTTATAAAAAATAAAAAATTATAAGTTTCAACACTTTAATTATAATCTACTTATACTTAAAGTTGATATTGCTGCCAGATCCATGTTGCTTAATCGTGAAATTCAAGTCATATGAGTCTGGGTCTGGTATAGATCAAAACAATTTAAATTACTTGAATTTGACATAATTATTAAATTTAAAATATTTAAAATATTATATATATTTTTAATATATATTTTTTAAAATTAATATTAACCTCTTTAGAGCCAAACCAATACTTTTAACATTAAGATATCAATTCTAAAACAACAAAAATAAAAAACCCCGGGTTAGCCACTAAACTACTCCGATCCGCTTCTCATCACACAATGTTAAGTGAATACACACCAATGGACTCGAGTTATAAAGCTTGCCCTGACTCGACGAGTTAATTTTATGAACTCTTAGTTTAGGGCTGGTTCTCGCCGAGTCAATAAAAGCATGGTTTTTTTAAGACAATATTATTTCAAGGTTTTTATGAAAACAATGCTTGGGTTAATATAGATTAACCTCCTAACCTCCAACTAGAGCCTTGAGCGGGTTGTCCTAGACCGGTTGTTATAACTATGCATCGGACACCTCTCTTACAATCCTCAGCGTCCAAACTCAACATCATCACCATTAAAATCAAGGAAGCATCGTAACTTACACTATACAGCTCCATACTATAGCTGCCCCATGCAGTGGCGCTTTCGTAATTCTGTTCCTTAATTTACACCCCGTCCCTCTCTCTTTCGCAGATCAACACACACAAGACTCGCTTATACAAAACCTCTCTCTATCTCTCTCTCTCTCTTTCAGAATTTAGAACTCGTTCACCTGGATCTCTAGCTCTCGCGATCTGCAAAAATGGTCAGTTCGTGATCTATCGTTGTTTCTTCCATTCAATTTTTATCTATTCTCGTCCAATTTGTATTGTCGTTTTGTAGCCTTCACTTTCGAGTTCGAGTACGCGTTAGATCTGGTTGAAATCTGCTTTGATTTGTTGCTCTTATCTAATTACGCTTCTAATTGTATAAACTCATGGCGTCTAATCACACAATTGAATACTTTTCTCCACTGATTTAATCAAATGTGGGACATTGGAATCAGTTCCGCTCTGTCTGGTAGCTCGGAATCGGAGCTTCTTGATTCTCGCATTGATTTCTTAGTGACCAAATGGAGTGTTCAGGTCTTGAAGTTTTCTGAGATCTGGTCTTAGTTACGGGTGGAATTTGAATTTTGAATTTTTAGATTAATGCGAGTTTTGGAGGTGTGTCTGGTTGCTCGGAAAGTGAAGGAATATCTGGAATGTAGAATTAGTTTTCGTTTTGACTTGGTGTTTTTGAAATTCTGATTTTTTTCTTATTTCACTATTCACAAAATGGATTAACGAGGATTTGGTTTTTTTCTGGATTAATTTGAGATCTGGTATGTAATTTTGGGACTGATGTTTTTGTTTTGTTCTGTATCAACAGCCTCTCAGACTCGAAATCAAGGTATTCTTATACATCTGCAGCTTTAATTTCGCAAGTTTTTCTTTTTAAATGATTGTGTGAGTGATATTCTTGTTTTTGTATCTGGATCAGAGGAAACTTGCTCAAAGATCGGAGAGAGTAAAGTCAGTTGATCTACATCCAACAGAACCATGGTAAATTATATATTTTTTCTTTCTTTTTTGCGTTTTATTTTGCTTAATTTGTTAGTCATTTGATGCAAAGAGAAGTAATTTGTAGATATGTTAGTCTTAACTTGATGTATTTTTATATTTCTGTGAGATGTTAGTATTAACATGTGATTTGGGTTTCTGCAGGATTCTAGTGAGTTTGTATTCAGGGACTGTGTGTATCTGGAACTACCAGTCACAGGTATGGGAATGTAATTGTACTAGCTTTTGCTTCATGATTGTGGTTTATTCACATTTGCAATGACAAAAAAACTGTTCAAAGTAGGGTGATTCTTGCTGATGGTCATGATAGCTTTTTAAAAAATGTGTTTATGTTTGAACAGTGAAGCATCATAATCAGTAACTTTAGTTAACTTTAAGTGGGTATGCGCTTCCAAAATCGATGTTTTTAATATGAATGCTGATAATTCTCAATCATCTTCTGTAATTATTTTAGAGGAAAAAATATAAAAATATTTCCCATGCGAGTTGCTGGCTGTTATGAGTTGGGCCTTGAAAGGTGAAGTGCTTATGAAAAACTGAACAAGTTACATGTCATTGGGATTAAAACTTGTCATACTTTCTGTCAACCTGTGAAGCTGGTTACCATTTGAATTTGTTTTCATCAGATGGGAACAGTGATGAAGTAGTAGAGTATTAGGGGTAGGAAAAGCTCCAATATGTTATGAGTTGTTTGCCACCTTAGCAAATTGGATTTTGGACCATGAATGGAGGAAGCATAGAACACGTCGCACCATATCAATAGGGAGTGTTACAATTTGTTTTTCCATTTCTGTAGACAAAAGTAAGTTAGAAAAATAAACTTTGCTGCTGGCTATCTTGTGAGACGCTTGTCATCAAATGTATTTTTATTTGGCTACACACGAATCAGTGGCAAAGTTTCCTTTTGTTGTTTTTGATATGTAAATTTTCTTAAAATTGATTATTTTCTTGGAGGTTTTTATTTTTTCCCTTCTAACATAAATATCCTTGATCTCCTCCAGACCATGGCAAAGTCTTTTGAGGTCACTGAGTTGCCAGGTATATGATAATATTTGCTTCCACTGTGAAAAGTTACTTTTACAGCATGTTTTTCTTTGAAGAAAGTTATTTCTAATCTCTGAAGTATGTTTTTGTCTTTTTTATAACTATCAAGTCTTCTGAAGTTTTTACATTACGTGTCTGCAGTTAGGTCAGCCAAGTTCATAGCACGAAAGCAGTGGGTTGTTGCTGGAGCTGATGACATGTATATTCGTGTGTACAACTACAACACAATGGATAAGATTAAAGTTTTCGAGGCTCATACAGATTACATTAGATGTGTGGCCGTCCATCCTACCCTTCCATATGTGTTGTCATCATCTGATGACATGCTTATAAAACTTTGGGATTGGGAGAAGGGATGGGCTTGTACTCAGATATTTGAGGGACATTCCCATTATGTGATGCAAGTTACTTTTAATCCTAAAGACACCAACACTTTTGCAAGTGCATCCCTTGATCGCACCATAAAGGTACAAGGGATGTTCCCTGGTGCTAATTTTTGTATATGCTTTACGTGCTTCTCTTGGCTCACTTTAATCGGGTATTTTTTGTTTTAGATTTGGAATCTTGGCTCTCCCGACCCAAATTTTACTCTGGATGCCCACCAGAAAGGAGTAAATTGTGTTGATTACTTCACAGGTGGAGATAAACCTTATCTAATCACTGGCTCTGATGATCACACTGCGAAGGTCAGTCCTTTGTGTGTTTATTTAGCTGTTTGGTTAACACATTTATCTTGATTTAGAATCTTAATGGTCATCTTTTCAAGCAGGTATGGGACTATCAAACGAAAAGCTGTGTCCAGACCTTGGAAGGCCACACACACAATGTCTCTGCTGTATGTTTTCATCCTGAACTTCCAATAATAATAACAGGTTCTGAAGATGGGACTGTTCGTATATGGCATTCAACAACTTACAGGTAATCCATTTTGCTGTATAAACTTAATGTTGGTATGTCTCTGGTATCTTTTATCTGCACTTTTATAACTGTTCTACATTGAAATTGGAATGCATACATTCTGATTCAAGTAGCAAACCTCAATGAGAAGGATTTCAGCATTTTTGCAAGAAAGATTTGGCGAAACAATTTTTATTTAATTATTATTATATATCTTCGGTGAACCACTTGTATATTATTTTCCCTTTTAATTTTTATTTATCTCCCAATCCGAGAACGTGGGTTTGTTTGTTCAGACAATATGGGCTTCCTAGAATTTCACATATCTGAAAATTATGTTCCTTCTGCTTTTGTTTAGTCAACTAGCCTCAGGATTTTAATTTTACCAGTACAGGAAATTATCATAAATACATGCATATTTGCAGCCATAATTTGATGTTAAATGGAAACATTTGTCTCTATCAGTGAATGCAGCCCAGTAGAGGCTGGAATAGGTTGATGTTTTGAGGAGTTAAATTCATAAGGGGTAGAAGATGCAAAATTTTGAAAAGCTTAAGCTAAATAGTTGCTTCTGTTTTTCTTTATTGTTCTTTGGTGTAAACTTCTTGTGTGTATATGCATAACACATACACACATATTATATGATTTCTGTTTGCCTTTATGTTACAGACTTTAAGACATATTTCATTGCATACAGGCTTGAGAACACCTTGAATTATGGCTTGGAACGAGTTGGGGCTGTTGGATACATGAAAGGTTCACGCCGGTATGTGTCTTATCTTTAGAAAATGAGTTTTTGTTGATGATGAGTAAAAGCAGAATGGCTATCAATTTCTTTGTGCAGTGTTGTGATTGGGTATGATGAAGGAACCATTATGGTCAAGATCGGTCGAGAAGAACCTGTGGCTAGCATGGATAATAGTGGAAAGATTATATGGGCGAAGCACAATGAAATTCAGACTGTGAATATTAAGAGTGTGGGGGCAGATTTTGAGGTTTGGATTCAATTAGACCACCTCATAATTGCTAATTGAGATAAAATCTTGAACCAAAAGATTCTTTTGCTTGGCATTACATCAGGCTTTGTTCTCTTTGATTTAGGTGACTGATGGTGAAAGATTGCCTTTGGCTGTTAAGGAGTTGGGAACATGTGATCTTTACCCCCAAGTGAGTTGGCAACTCTTGTCACATTTCATAATTTCTTTTCCTCGTTTGAAACCATATAAATTTCCTCATGCATTCCAGTGAGGTTAACATAACTTATTTTAGACTGACATCTTTTTCTAAGATTTACAATTACTTGTCAGATAAGAAAATTCAACTGATGTAGCAGCCCAGAGCAGATTGCTGTTTTTTCCCTGTAGGAAGTGAAGTCTGTAAAATGTCTCTTGAACTTGATTTAGTTGCATCACAGACAAATTACTGTTCTGTTTTTTTTTGTCCCTTGGATCCATTTCTCTTTTCCAATTTTATTTGTGGGAGCATTCATTGTAACATGTATGTGCATAGTAGCATTATGGACTATTTATCAAGGTGGAAAAGCAGCTTGTAACATACATAGATATAGCATTAAATGGGTTGGGAGAAGGCCAAGGAAAACATCTGCTGATTTGTTCTTGTAATCTGTCTTGGACTGCCCATGTGTGGTGCATGGGTGACTTATTTTTTCTGCTGCACTTATTTTACAGAGCTTAAAACACAATCCCAATGGGAGGTTTGTTGTTGTTTGTGGAGATGGTGAGTACATCATATATACAGCTTTAGCATGGAGAAACAGATCATTTGGTTCTGCACTTGAATTTGTTTGGTCTTCGGATGGTGAATATGCTGTTAGAGAAAGTACATCAAAGATTAAGCTTTTCAGTAAAAATTTCCAGGTCTGTACTCTTTCTTAGCTTATCTTATATTTGCTATTTGGTTATTGTATTGTTCTGGAGAAGTGGACATTTTGTCAAGTTGGTTGGGGCAGAGAAAACAAATGTAACATGCCTTGCTAATTTGAGGAAAATTGTTTAACATTTATCTCAGAGTCACTATTAATGTGTATGCTTTCATCTTGTGACTTGTGTGATCATGCTTTGGCTTATAATTCCTGGACGATAACAGAATTGTTTAGGTTTCTCAACATTCGTTGATCTAGCTGTTGTGTTAACATCTTAACGATTGTATGTGAAATATGGGGTTAAATGATGGTCATTTCTTTCAGGAAAAGAAGAGTGTCCGGCCAACCTTTTCAGCTGAGCGCATTTATGGTGGAACCCTGTTGGCCATGTGCTCAAATGATTTTATTTGTTTCTATGACTGGGCTGAATGCAGGTTGATTAGGAGAATTGATGTTACTGTGAAAGTAAGTATCATGGGTTTCGTTGCTGTCTTGACAGTTTTCCCAGACAACACATTATTCCAAGTTCCTTGTGTAGTAAATGTTAATACTGATCTTGGATATATCAGAATCTCTATTGGGCTGATAGCGGAGATTTAGTGGCCATTGCTAGTGATGCATCATTCTACATCCTCAAATACAATGTGAGTCTTCCTATTGACCTCTTGATTTCTTTATGTGTTCACTTGCTGTCTTCATTATGCCTGCATTAATGAATTTGAAATGATGTTTGTTTAATTTTGCAGCGTGAGATAGTTTCATCTTATTTAGATAATGGAAAACCTGTGGATGAACAAGGTGTTGAGGATGCATTTGAGCTTCTTCATGAAACCAATGAACGTGTCAGAACTGGCTTATGGGTTGGGGATTGTTTCATATACAATAACTCCTCCTGGAGGCTCAATTACTGTGTTGGAGGCGAGGTACCTTGCAACCTTGTGCTGGCTGACTTGATACATTCAAATACGACTCCTTTCCTTGGATTTTAAGTTGCGGTATTTATAGCTAACAAAATTGTTTTAGGTGACCACCATGTATCATTTGGACCACCCCATGTACTTGCTTGGGTACCTTGCTAGTCAAAGTCGGGTGTATTTGATAGACAAAGAATTCAAGTAGGTAGTTTTTCTTTATCTGTTTTTGGAATTTATATTATTTTGCTTTTAACCTCTCTTTGGTGTTTTCTTCTTCTGTCCTCGTGCAGTGTCACGGGGTACACTTTACTTCTTAGCTTAATTGAGTACAAGACTCTGGTGATGCGGGGAGATCTGGAGAGGGCCAGTGAACTTTTACCTTCAATTCCTAAAGAACATCATAATAGGTACTCACATTTGCTAGTTCTTAGATATTGCCAATGGATATTTATATTTGTTCTCCAGAAAATGAGTGATTTGACAGTTGGCTACTTTGAAATATTGTTAGTTTTGGGTGTTCAACATCATTATTGCCTCACGCTTGTCAAATTATAACAAAATTGAATTAGTTGCTTTGATATTGCTAGGAGATTCTTTTTAATTTCTTCATATTATGATAATCTATGTTATATTTTGTTTTTATTGGCTATTTTGACTTCAAGATTCCCTACCTTTTGCTGTAGAAATATTAATTTCACGTGTGACTGATTTCTTGGAACTTTTGCTACATTAGCACTGTGTTTTTGTTTTTTTATTTTTAATAAAACCATTTCTTTATCATCGTGATTTGTGGTCCTTTTTTATTCTTAGTATAAAGCATCCAGATGTTGTGTTTGTGTTTTGAATGTTCTTGCAATTTCAAATTTGAGAGATTGTTATGTGGTTACAGGGCTGGCTCTTCATTTTTGCCCTCCCTTTCCCTTTGTAAACGTTTCGTAGAACTTCATAATTCCCACCATGTGCTTTGCTTCTTGTTGGTTAAACTATGAAGTTTGGGTATTGAAGCTCTTGTTTTCTGATGGAATATCAACTTTGATTGCTAGTGTGGCACATTTCTTGGAATCACGAGGTATGATAGAGGATGCTCTGGAAGTAGCTACTGACCCTGATTATAGATTTGAGCTAGCTATACAGCTTGGTAGATTAGAGGTTGCAAAGGTGAGGCTAGTTGATGTTATTTTTGGTTAGTCTATACAAGCAGTCATGGAAGCTTTTTTCTTAAAGTCACCATCTCCTTTTGGATAAAACAACAACCTTGTGGCTGCTCTGAACATGCATGCCTTTCTTTTACAGGAAATTGCCAGTGAAGTGCAGAGTGAGTCAAAATGGAAACAGTTGGGAGAGTTAGCTATGTCCAATGGAAAGGTATAATTATGGTCTGATATACTTTTGGCCTTCACTGCAGTAAACTAAAATTCTACATGCTTATCCTATATGTCCTGGACATCATGTATGATGAGGTGGAAAACAGAATGCAGAATTATTATCTCACTTAAACTGAGAAATGTCCTGGGGTCCAAGAGATAGCTGCTTCAAATAATAATATTGTTTATATACATTTTTTTGCTTGAGGCTGGGGCAGTTAGAAGAAATAGTTTGATTTAACAATCCTATAGACTAAATGAGCAAACTTCTGTTGGATTTTAGATCAAGTTCATACCTATATGAACTATGAGTTTTCACATTGTTGCTTATGGTTCCTGTTACATTTCAGGAAGCTTTTCTGGTTACTAGTCTTCTCTTATATATCTTATTTTGAGTTGCTACTGCAGTTGGAAATGGCTGAGGAATGCATGAGGCATGCAACAGACTTGAGTGGTTTGCTGCTACTATATTCTTCCTTAGGAGATGCTGAAGGGATATCAAAGCTTGGATCCCTGGCAATAGAACAGGGGAAGATTAATGTTGCATTCCTTTGTTTATTCATGTTGGGCAAAGTTGAAGACTGCCTCCAGCTGTTGGTGGAACGGTAATTTTCTTAACTACTTAAGATGAGAACAGTGGTTCTTTTGATTTAAGACATTGAAGCATTATTCTTGCAGCAATCGGATACCTGAGGCTGCATTAATGGCACGATCTTATCTTCCCAGCAAGGTTTCAGAGATTGTTGCACTTTGGAGGAAAGACCTGAACAAGGTATCCTGTCATTCTTGTGTTTTTGTTTCACTTAGAATCTCTTGGGTCTCTGGCCCTTATCCTATTATCCTCCTATTCTCTTTTTCTACATGTATCCAATTATGTGGATTTAACATCTTACATCCTGTTGAGGGGTGCTTTGATTGATTTACATCGTCAATAAGCTTCAAGTAAATTAGATTCAGTTTAAAAGAAAGTAAACTGTTACTTCAAGTGACATTATACTGTAATTCTAGGGCTGGAATAAAGCTAAATTTATTTTGTTTCTTTTCCCTGTGCAATGCTTTCTCCCCATCACTTGGCTCTGTAATAAAAAGAACTCTAATTACCAGTTACAAAACTAATTTATATTAATCTATTATTATTGATATTTATTCCTTGTTATCCTATTTAAAATTTCTAAAGTAATGATTTTTCTTCTTAAATCAAAGTAATAGGTCTGTAGAATTTATTTTTTTTGCTCACGCATAGCATGAGTCTTATGGTCCTAGTTTGTGTTGTTTTATAGGTTAATCCAAAAGCTGCTGAATCTCTGGCTGATCCTGAAGAATACCCAAATATGTTTGATGATTGGCAAGTTGCTTTATCTGTTGAATCTACAGCTGCAGAAAGAAGGTACTTTTGAAGAGCACTTGTGTACACTCTCCACTAATTCACATGTGGCTGGCACTGTCCTTGAATGGAATGTAGTTTTATACTGGTTTCAATGGATAGCTGATAAGTTTAGAAGACAAGAATCTCTCTTTCAAAATTAATTTCTCTGGGTCTAGCTTATTGCATGAAAATTCAGTATGTCTATTTTTCAGTTAATCATTATCCCAAGGCTTACAGCTTAACACAGAATTTGTGAATTTTTGAATTTTCTGATAAATAGCTTATTAATGCCTCTGATATTGCTTCTGTAGGGGCGTGTATCCTCCTGCAGAGGACTACCAAACACATGCTGATAAACCTCACATCACCCTTGTGGAGTCTTTCAGAAACATGCAAATAGAAGAGGAGGAACCTCTTGAAAATGGAGACTTTGATCATGAGGTATTTTGTGAATAGGGATTTAAATCCCTTTTACATTTCAGCTGCCGTTCTTTGTTCCATTTATTTAAACTTCATTTAGTATGGTGATGTGTGTTATGAGATGTGCATTTGTATGTCCACTGTTGAGAAATCTTCCTCATAAATGATCAATGGCATGCATGTAGCCTACTTTAATCTCACAAAAGCTTGCTTGTAAGGAGTTCAATGCTCAAGTAGTCTATAAATTACCTGATTTTCCTTATTATTTGGAGAGCTGCACTAAATGAATGCATTGGTGACTATTCTGCTTTTCAGTTTTTTTTGTTTTTACATGTATTTATATTCTATTTCTCACAGGCTGAAGAAGAGAATGTAGATGAACAGAATGGCGAGGAAGGGAGCCAAGAGGAAGCAGTTGTGGTGGATGCAGAGTCTACAGATGGTGCTGTACTCGTTAATGGAAACGAGCCTGAGGAAGAGTGGGGTACGAATAATGAAGGAACCCCGTCAGCCTAAAAGCAAATTGGTTGGGGCAGTGTGAAAATCCAAATTTTGTCTCTGGTGATTAATTGATTCTGGAATGTCATCTCTAACTCCCAATTTCACATGTTATTCTTCTCTACCACTACCACTACTGCAACTATGGGGAAAAAAATCATTTTTCTTTAATGTGCTCTGCTAGCACAATTTTTTATTGGCTCATCAACTGCTGACTCAAAGTTTAGGTCTAGTCAGGATTAGGTTTTTCTAGTTGTCTAACTGATGACATCATCTCAGTCTTACAAGGTCTGGCTGTTTCGCTTTATATACATATGTTTTTAATAACAAGCATGCATCTATCATGTAGTTGAGGTTCATACCAATTCTTCTGACTTATTACATTGATTTACAACTTAATAGATATCTAGCAGTGTTAGGCCACTTAATACCATTATTGTTAGAATTGAAGTGTTGGATTTATGCAGCTATCCACTTCTGGTTGTCTTCTTGTGCTGTTATATTTATATGTTAAAATACATTCTCGCATTTTGGCATCTTTTCTTCTGGAAAATTTTGAATTCTTTTGTCTATGTTTTGAACGGGAGGGTTTTTTTCCCCACTTAAAGTCGCGCCATTTGCAATTTGAGTGGGTGAGTGGTATATGACATCTTGGTCCTTACTCTATCCTTTTTGTTTGCAGTGCTTACTCCACGCCACTAGGTCCTGCTTTCAAGACAATTGATCCAGCTGTATTAGTCCCCGATAAGGTGAGAAAAGCATGCTTAGATATAATGGATAGGTTTTGAATATAGAGATGAACAAGTTTGAACAGAGTACTGGTAAATGCAACCACCGTGTGGTTTGGTGCAAGTATTGAAGAAACTCCACTAGAAGTGGGATCTAGCAGAAAGTTCTCACCACAAATACATAAATGAAATTTTGTGTACCATTAGGTTGTGACCTTTAACGAATTATGTTTTGGATAGGGCACTTCAACTTCATTCAAGTTGATTATTTTTTTTTTTGTATGATTTTCCATATGCAAATGAATTTGGGCAAATGCATGGCTAGGATTGATGATGATTTTTTTACAGAGAATTTCAAACATGGATGGTGTTTTTTTTTTTTGTGTGTGTTATCGTTGGTTACATAGTTAATTTACGAGCGGTCCACGGATAAATAGTTAATTGATTACGGGTAAATGTAAAATGGCTGCTTTTCTCAATGATAGTTAATCGACTTGAAATGGTGTGTCCGCCCCGTTCATTGTTTATTTTTCTTGGGTGAACTCAGGTTACCAGCGGGATTGCTAGAAAGAGGTTTTATTATAGGGATCGGTTCTCTTTCCAGACGTGGTGTCGCTCTGTAGCGCTTTGAATTTTTGTCATGGAGGATGTCGTTCAAAGGGTCCTCGTTCCTATTACAGTTGATGTTTCGGCATACTCTGAGTCCACATTCTTAAAGCTTATAGCCTGTTTCGAAACTAGAAATTTGAATTTAGAGAGTGGCCCATCTCACTCTCTTTTTCCATGCGTTCTCGTACATGTGTAATTCGCCATGTACGCATCAATAAATACGACTTATGTTCTTCTCCCGTAACTGGTCCTGCGCATGCGCCTTCGAGTGTCAGTGGCACCCTGTTAGTGATGCCGGGAATATCTATGTAATGATTCTGGGATACGGAAATGCGTTGACAAATCCTGCTTTTGATCAATGGCTGCGAGGTGGCGTTCCCTGGAATCTTAATAACCAGGTGGAATGTGCTCCCACGCGTCCTCCCCAAGCTTTGCCGAGAGAGAGAGAGCTACCTCAGCTTGCAATAGTCCATAATTTGCTGGGCCAGAGAATAACTTGGGTTTGTGGGTTGGAGTCCACAAAGACGAGGAGAAATACTGTTGTCTGAAACTCGTATATAGCTAGCTGGTTATGTGAACGATGAGGTTGGAGACCGATGCCGTGTGCCTAATCGACCCTTGAGGCAATTAGCAATTTGGTAAACGTGTTTCTTGAGCCGATGAAAATTTAGTTTATTAAAAAAGAACGAAGATGAAAAAAGTAATGCTATTTTAGGACTGTCAATAGTTGCTTCGAGGGACAAATACAAGGCCGGGAAAAAAAAAAAAAAACCATCAAAAGTAATAAAATATCTTCATATTTAGGTTTAGAAACAATTTTTTTTTAAATTCTCTCTTTCCTTATTTATATCTTCCTGATATGAAGTAATGACTACTATTTCTGTATTCTAAGATTTCTCTAAGATTCGAGAAAAAATTATCTAAAATTAAATTTTAAAATATTATAACCAAGAATATAAATTTAAAATCAAATCTTAGCATGAGTACATTCTTTCTGATAAATAATGATGATGATGATATTCTTTCTGCATTATATATTTATATATAATCTTATTAGTCTCATAAAAAATCATTTTGTTTTTTTTCTCATAAAAATATTTCTTTTATTTATAGATATAGTTTCATTTAGAGAGAAAAAGGGAGATATTTAGACTGGTTTATAGGATTTATCATAGTTATATATATTGACAAATAAAATTAAAAAGTAAAAAACAAAATTGGGTGATGGCCTGGTGAGCCATCAGCCACGTTAAATTTAATGGGTCAGGTTTTTCCTGCTCTAAATTTTTTAGTCAAACTAGAACCTATTAATTTCATCTATATCATATGAAAGCACCAAACAGTGAGTATAATTTAATGTCAAGAGAAACTTTTTTAGTTTTTTAGAGATTTTAGAATATCAATGATAGATTTTGATCCTCTTTGAAATATAATCTATTATCTTTTATTTAATTATTTAAAAAAAAAACTGAAGAATATGATTTTTTTTTAATTAGCTCCCATTATAAAGTCAGATTCACGTTCTACAGTAAAAAAGGCTTTATAACTAATTTGTATTTATGATGAAAATTAAGGACCAAATAGTAAGGTTCTAAGCCATGCATGATTACTAAGATATACATTTGTGTGGTTGAATTTAATGCTATAATAATGGTTGAACATAAATGATTTCTTGGAAATTATAGATTTAATGCTTCATGTTTACCTTTATTTATTTAATTTAATATATATTCACTCTATTTTGTATGTAATAACAATACACTTTTTATATGAAAAATTCTCTTAATTTTTTTAAAAAAAGAGAGATACCAATCATTTAAAATTTATTAGATCTATATCTTACAATTTATGAAAATTTAATTTGATTTTCTTTTATATACAAATCATTTTATCTTTATCTTTATCTTTAGATTATGGAAGGCAATGAAAGGATTGCTTGGGTTTAAAATGGGAATTAATGTTGTTTAAATGTCAATAAATGTAAATATATTCTAAGAGTATTTATTATTGAGTTTCAATTTTTTTTAAAAAATATTATTTACTTATTTATTTATATATTTAAATTAATTTTTTTAATTGTTTTTAAATCGTTTTAATGTGTCAATATAAAAAATAAATTTTAAAAAATAAAAAATTATTTTATATATTTTCAAATAAAAATATGTTTTAAAACAATCATTACAATAATAGCACTCAAGCTAGTGATAATGTTTATATATGCATGGATGTGTGTGTATCTTATCTTATCTTTCTTTTTATTTAAATATAAAAAGTATTTTCTGATTAGTTTGTGCGTGAATCAAGACTTTAAGTGCTCTCGCCTCACATTTATTTTACTTGGTGGGTATCCTACTTTATTATTTGAAATTCATATAAAAACTTCATGATTGTTTCTATATAAAAGTGGAGCAATATATGTTTTGATCATGAAATTTCTTTTTCTTATGCTGAGGAAAGAATTTTAATTTGATAATTTTCATAAAACTCCTCCATGTTTTTATTGTGATTATTCTATTATATTTATAATATTTTTATTTTATTTAAAATATAATTATTTTAATATTTTACGATAAAGTTTATTTATTAAAAGATGACTATCATTATTACAATTATCATTAAAGTAAAATTTCTTTCAAATCCTTGAATCATGGGAGTTTCAATATCAATTTATATAATTGCATTGGTTAATAAAATTATTCTCATTTGTGGAATTTTTTATTTTCTTGATTTTTTATTTGAGAAATATTACACATGTTGTTTTTTAAAAGAAAAAAGATGTAAGTTAAAGCTATACATGATAACCAATGTGAATATTAATCATATCTTTAACTTTTCAAAAATTATTTTACATTAGAAGTTGATTTCACAACATATTTTGTTTAGCAATTAAGTCTCATAAGTTGCATTCACATACTTTTATACACACACACAGTATAAGTTCGAAACCAATTTGAAGAGGCATGTTCTAAGAGTTTTTGGTTAAGATATGCTTTATAAGAAATGGATAATTTTTAATTACCTGTTTTTGTCTAAAATTGTTTGGTTAAGATATAATTTGCTTTTCAAATAGAAATTTAATATATATATATATATATATATATATATATATATCCAAAATACAACAATTAATTACTTTTATTAATTTTGTTAATGTAAATTTCATATTGTCATATAAGCACAATACAATATCCAAAACACAATATATGTTTTGATGTAGTTTAATATTTTAAACCAGAGAAAATGAGCAGTATGCACCTAATCTTTGTTTCCATTTAAATCTAAGAATGTTTTAGGTAGCCGTAGGATCAAATACTAGCCCTTAATTTAAATTCTTGAGATTAGGGTTTAACAAAAGATAGAAAATCTTAATCCATAGTATATCCGAACAAAGAAAGATAGGCCTCTCCGTATACCATAGGTAACCATACCATAAGAAAACAAGACGATGCTATGTTACGGGTTCAAAGATATATATATATATATATATATATATATATCTCGAGGGCACTCGTAAGGTGTAATCAAGCCTTCCTTAGAAGGGACCTCTCACATTCTTCTATAATCCATTCCATAGCATACATATCCCCAAATAATATCAAAAACATCAGAAACCCTTTTCATCTTTGGATCTCCTCTGCTAGGGTTTTGCTCCCGCTCCTGCTCCTGCTCTCGTAAGTCTCATATTCCTCCTCCAGCTTTGCTTTCACATACCGAATCTACTTGTTTTTTTTACTTCCCTGTGTCTCTGTTTCCCAGGGCGAGTGTTTTGGTTTTTATTTTCAAAATTTCTTGTCTTACTAATTTGTTGCATGTATCCTCTACTCTACTCTTGTTAGAATTCTAAAAGATTTGGTCTTTTATTGTTGATGACCCAGTTGACAAAACCGCCGATTTAGCTTGGATTGCTAGCTTTTATTAGCTATCACCTTTGGTTTCATTAGTGGGATTATTGAATCAACGTGAAGTGAATGGATAAATTTTAGTTTAGGTTTTTTTTAACTCCAAATGAAATCCGATATTTTACTGGAAATGCTTCGTCTTATTTATTATTATTATTATTATTATTATTATTATTATTTGCAATTAACTAGTAGGGAGGAGAGTATTTTTTAATCCCATCGCTTGTTTTTATTTCAAATTATTTCTCCTCTATGCTTGTAAGCAGGACTCTTGCTTTTGCCCTTATTGGCTTGCTACCCGCTTCATTTTATCTGTTAATGCCATCTTTAACAAACTGATTCTAAGCTGATCATTTTGAATGATTTAACCTCCCTTTCTTTTGTTGTTGAGACTGTCAGAGTTGAAATTCATTTTCCCTTTCTTTTTACTGCACATCCTCATATTTCTTTTGGTTCTCCATGTTTGCCTGTTATAATCATAATGAACTTGTCTAGAAATGTATGTTTGATATAAGCTTGAGATGGGATTGTTTTGGACACGAGGAACAATTTAACGACAATTCCATCCAGTTAATTTTACTGCTGCTCTCAATTATGCATTTAGGTGATTCCTGTTTTCATTTTTTCACTTGCTGATCGTGGACATGTTAGTTGGATGTGAGATAGCTAGCTAGGCTTTGAGCCTTTTGCTGAATGTAACTTTGGTATAAGTGATCATGTATTGAGAGCCTGACATTTTATGTTCTTGGTTCTTTTTTTCCAGGATAAAAATATCATTGAGACTCTGTTAATGCATAAATCAGAGAAAAAGCAGTGTCCTGTTGTGTCATAGGTTGTTTCTGATGTGCATGAT